GAGCGAGCTCTTCCCAGTTGGTCGGGTTGATTTGCAGGCGCTTCAGGGAGGACTTCAAGGTGTCCTTGTAACGGCGAATTTGGCCTCCTTGACGACGAGAACCCGTCGCGACGTCTCCGTAGAAGAGTCGTTTGGGTAGTCGCTCGTCGTCCATGCGCATCAGGTGGCCGCTCCAGCGCAGCTGCATTTGTTTCAGTATGGCGTAGATGCTGAGGATTCCCGTTCGTTCCAATACTTCCGTGTCGGGGATTCGATCCTGCCTGTTCAGCCTCAGGATGCGACGGAGACAACTGAGGTGGAAGTGGTTCAGTTGGCGTGCCTGTCTCGTGTACACCGTCCATGTTTCTGCTCCGTACAGTAACGTCGGCAGGATGACGGCCTTGTACATCTTCAGCTTTGTGCTCAGTTGGAGACCGTGGAGATACCAAACTGTGCTTCGGAGACGACCGAAGGCTTGACTGGCTTTCGAGATCCTGTTGGCGACTTCGTCATCAATCTTGGTGTTGTGGGAGAGGGTACTGCCCAGATACGGGAAGTTCTCTACCACTTGCAGTTGATTTCCTTTTACGCTGATTTGCGGCGGCGTGTTGGGGGCTGTGGCTGAGTTGGGCGGCGGTTGGTGCATCACCACCGTCTTCTGCGTGTTAATGACCAGCCCATGATCTCGCAGGCGGCGGAGAATAGATCCATGCTCCGTCGCATCTCCTCTTCCGAGGTGGTGTTCAGGGCGCAGTCGTCGGCGAAGAGGAGTTCGAGCACGGTGGCTGTGGATACACGCGATTGGAAGTTCATGCGCCGTTGATTCAGGAGATGACCGTCCGTTCTATAGGCGATGCGGATTCCTGGGCGTTCGTCGCGGTAGGCGTCCATCAGCATGGCAGAAAACATAAGACTGAAGAGGGTAGGCGCCATCACACAGCCCTGCTTCACTCCGTTGGTCACAGCGAATGCCTCTGAGACAGCGCCGTTGTCCGTGACTCGCGCCATCATACCGTCGTGCAGCTGACGCACCATCTGAGTGAATCGCTCCGGACAGCCGAATTTCTGCATGATCTTCCACAGTCCTTCACGATTCACCGTGTCGAAGGCTTTCGTCAGGTCCATGAAGGTAGAGTACAGGTGGGTCCACATCTCCTGGCACTTCTCCTGAAGTTGGCGGGCTTCGAAGATCATATCCGTGGTCCCACGATGACGACGGAATCCGCATTGGCTTTCCGGCAGAAGGCCCTGTTCCATATGGATGTTGAGGCGGTTGAGCAGGATGCGAGCGAAGATCTTCGCGGCGATGTTCAGTAGGGAGATGCCGCGGTGATTGTCGCAGACTTGGCGATTCACTTTTCGCTTGTATAGGTGCACGATAGTTGCGTCCTTGAAATCTTGCGGGAGTTCACCTTGACGCCACATCTCCTGGAAGAGCGCAGTCAGATGATCCATTATTTGGGGACCTCCGTGCTTGTAGACCTCAGCAGGGATTGCGTCCGATCCGGGTGCTTTCCCGCTGGAGAGTTGCTGCACGGCCCTGATGGTCTCCTGGAGAGATGGCGGGAGGTCGAGGTCCACGTTGGTCTCCACTTGCGGCAAGCGGGCGATGGCGGCGTGACGCCTCGGAAGTGCTCGGCCCATCGCTGCAGGATTTGCGTCTTCTCAGTCAGGAGAGTGCTGCCGTCGGCGCTGAGGAGAGGAGCAGTGCCCTTCGTCGGCGGACCGTAGACAGCTTTGATCGCAGAGAAGAAGTTCTTCCATTCGTTGCGGTCCGCATACCATTGCATCTCCTCAGCTTTGCGAGCAGTCCAGGCGTCCTGCATCTCGCGCAGTCGTTGCTGAAGCTGTCGGCGACTGCGGTAGAAGGCCGCTTTGTTGTCCTCAGTGGGGTGATCTACGTAGGCTTTGTGTAGGCGGTTCTTCTCGGCAAGCAGATTGCTGATGGCGGCGTCGTTATCGTCGAACCAGTCCTGGTGTTGGCGGGGAGCGCGACCGAGGACGGCGAGAGCCGTCGACTGGACCGTGTCTCGCAGTTGACACCAGCGGTTCTCCACGGAGGCGTTCTCGGCAGCGGCGGCGGCGGCGTCGTCGGCGGCGGCAGCGATAGGAAGGTTGTCTAGCCGTTGAGCTAGCTCATTGCTGAAATGGAGACGGTGAGCAGGCAAAGACAACAAAGCAACATTCAGCTTACCTGGGGGTCGCTTACCTTGTGGTCTCCTGCCAGGCTGTAGGCGAATACGCATCTTCGAGATGACGAGGCGATGGTCGGTCCACCCGTCAGCACCCGCGATCGCCTTCGTCACCAGCACGTCCCGCTGATCTCGCCTCCGAACGAGGACATAGTCCAGCAGGTGCCACTGACGCGACCGAGGATGCCTCCAGGTGGCCTTCTCTCGCTCCGGCAGACAGAAGTACGTGTTCGTCAGGATGAGGCGGTGTTCTGCGCAGGTGCGGAGGAGCAGCAGGCCGTTTTCGTTTGAGCCGCGGAGACCGTGGGGACCCAGCACTCCCCTCCAGGCAGTATGGTCTGTGCCGACGCGGGCGTTGAAGTCACCAAGGACAATCAACTTGTCCGCCTTCGACACAGTCGCCAAGAGGGCGTGCAGGTCCTCGTAGAATTTGTCTCTTGCGGCGGCGTTGGGGCTGGTCATCGGCGGAGCGTAGGCGCTGATGATGGTGGCGAATTTGCCTCCTAGCCGGAGGGGCAGACGGAGGCTCATCAGGCGATCGTTGATACCCTGCGGCGAACAGGGTAGTCGTCCCACGATGTCGTTCCGGATGGCGAAGGCGACACCCGCGTCTCGTCGCTCTGCCTTGGGTCGACCACTCCAGAAGAAGGTGTAGCCGGCACCCACCTCCTCCAGTTGGCCTTGTTCGGAGAATCGGGTCTCGCTGAGTGCGGCGATGTCCACCTTGTAGCGCGCCAGTTCTCGTGCCACTAGCGCCGTCCTCCGTTCCGGTCGGTTGCTCCTCGGATTGTCTAAAAGGGAACGAACATTCCAGGCTGCCAGAGTGAGCGGGCTCACCCTGCCAGTCTGGCGACTGCGGCGGCGAAAAGTAGGAGTAGGAGAAGAAGAAGAATAGGCTGGAAGAGGAAGAGAGTGATTGTTGTTGTTGTTGTTGTTTCTGTTTTGGCTGTTTCGACCGTGTGTTTTTTGTCTGCGGCCACGGCCAGCCTACAGACAGCGTGGTTCCCAGCGATCTTTAGGGCACCTTTTCTAGCCCCCTCCCCCTCGCGGGGGCAGGCAACGCATCCCTGAACAGGGCTGCCCGGTTATCCCAGACGGCTGCCGGACTCCACTATGGGCCACGACTTTTGTTAGTGAGAGAACGACTCGAATTAGCCTGGGACCTTGGTGGTGAGGTGATGACGTGATGGAGTGAAGTAGGAGAGAGCATACACACTAATTAACGCTAGGGGACTTAGAACTAGAGTGGACAAGCGGACACAGGCATCAGTCAGAGACAAAGTGAGGGCACCACACAAAGTCAAGCACCGTAACACCTAGCTAGAAGAGAGTGGCATAGACTGACGGACAGACAATCGCAGCAGGCATCGAGGGTGTCGTTTAGCTATTGACAGACAGACTAGCATATAATGGGCAGGCAGCAAGCGCAGCGTACGACGCGGAACTTCAACAAACAAAAGGAAGAAACAAAGCAAGCGCACTTACCTGAGGGGGAACTTACCTGGTGGCCTGCGATGGTCCAGGCAGAGCCTCATCTCGACGATGTCGACGCGAAGATCCATCCGGCCAGCGCAGACCACAGTACCGCGCGTGCAGGTGCACGCACGGATACCCTCACCTGGTTTAGCCCGCCGGTCGAGACGGTTGCCCGGGGTGTGGCCGCTGAGCAGAGCCCAGCTACGTGGAGCCACAGGTGAGAGTTAGGTGCCAGCAAATGGACGCTAGGCGTAGTCTCACCTGCAAGCAGGTGAGCGACCACTACGACCATCACGTGGACCCACCGCTGACACCCCTACACCCCACCACCACCACCACTACCACCACCACTACCACCACCACCACCACCGGTGGCGCTGATGTGAGGATCACCGTATTTAATGTTGCGAGTCGACTGCTGGATGATCACCATTTTACCCATGCATATGATCAGCCTGAATCGTGCCAAACTGGTTGCAAAGAGATCCGTACTCCGTTGTATAACCGCCACTGTCGCGGTGTTTGTTGCATATACGTCCGTAAAGAGTAGGTCGTGAACATTGTTCGGGGAGAGGTGGGCTGGAATATGCATAAGTCGGCTGTTGAGGCGATTAACAATGCTGTGAACGAGGACCGTTTCAGCAATGTCGGCCAGCGAGATTCAGCCGCGATAATCCCAAAGATGTATGATTCGCAGTTTCCCAGCAAGATGTGTTTCTTCGTCGGAGCTGAGTAACGGCGCGGTTACTTCCGTACGGATGTCGCAGACTGCCTTGATTGAGGCGAAGTAATGACTCGTATCAATTAAGTCCGCGCATGCTGGCATTCCCTCAGCCCTAGGATCCATGGAGACGTTCCGCAAGGTCTGCAGTCCCTGTTGCACTAGGCATAGACAACGGACGTAGGCAGATTCATCTTCATCGATCTGGCGATTGAGTTAGGATTTTTGAAGCCTTTGCTTGTGGACATGCAGACTGCATATTTCTGCGCCGTCCTCGTCAAGTCAGTCCATGGATTGGCGACATGCATGGCTCAGAGCATCATAGACCATGTAGTGCTCCCTAACCGGTCATTGGGTACATGCGCTGGCCTAAGACGGGGAGTCACATCAGATTGCGGCAGGGTTATGGGAAAGCTCACCATAACAAATGCCAGCATTTCGGGGTGCGATGGCAGACCCGATTGCCGGCAGACATCGCGCACAGTGTGACCCCTGTTGTTTTTGTTGTTGGTCAAAGGCCTCGTCATTTGCTGTGTAGACCAGGAGGTGTGAAGTAGAGAGCCAAGGTGCGGCTCTAACGTACCATCCGCCTGCGCTCTCCCCGCCTCCGGTATTCTTGACTCTACCTTGGCACTGTGTCCATGTGGGGAAGGAGAAGAGAGTGTGGTAGATGCTGCGCAAGTCTACTTTCACTATACAATGATTCATGTGCAAATCACAGCCCCCGATTCACGTAACCGTGGAGCACAATATGCACTTCGGCAACAAAAACGGTCGAACTGTCTTATTGTGGTCTGTGCTTTTTACACCACCATGTCTTCAATGTGGTATTGTCTTCGACGTCTGTGGTTCTTTCACGGATTGGCAAAACTGATTACAGAAATCGAAAAGTTCAGCGAATGAATTCGGTAGACTAGTGTGTCAACCAAATGGCTGTAGCTTGGCATTCGAAAGTCCTAAACGTATTCGTATCTTCGCTTCGGTTAGCCTGTGGTATTTTACGTTTACCACTGCTCCTCATGAGATGTACAACATGGTCCGCATCCATTGCAAAATTTTATGGACCCTGTATGATAAGTATAAAATATAAAGAAGACGTGATTCTCTATTGATTGACTAAGGGAAAGCATACTTTTGTTTGTGGTTTCTATAAAATATATTTGAATTTCCAAGACCATCGAAAATCAATGGTAAAAATGCATGCTACTTAAGTAGTCATTTTTTACCGAGCACGCTTTCTACAGGAGAGTGAAAAGAAGTGCATTTAAAAGCCGACATCCTGAAGAGTCCGAAATGTCATAAGGGTATGCCTTAAGATAATCAGTATCACAACCAGGACCAAGTAATCCTTCTTAATCGAAAACGCATTTCAGAATTTCAGCCAACATTTCATGAGATAGGTCACGTACTGTACACAAACATCAGCACCACCAACGTCGACAGCAGAGGTGAGGACCAGGATTACGACCGCTCTCACTGCGCCTGCAGCTTTACCTCACACACCGGCCTGGTCGGTTACTTATGAATCCATCGCTCAGAGGCTGACAATTACACACTAATCTACCGAATTCATAGGTTGAACTTTTCGATTTCTGTAATCAGTTTTGCCAATTCGTTAAAGAACCACAGACGTCGAACGATAACGCCACACCGAAGACATGGTGGTGTAAAAAGCACAGAACACAATAGGCCAATTCGACCGTTTTTGCTGACGACGTGCATATTGCGCGATGTCTGCCGGCAATCGGGTCTGCCATCGCACCCCGAAATTTTGGCGGGATAACTTGTACCTCGACTGCATTTCTGAGGGTCAGGCTGCAATTGCTCCTTCTTAATTTTTTCCCCCCACGGCCTGGGATCCGAGCCAGTTTTTGGCTTCATGTCTAGGCGCGGCTTCGGGCGTGACAACCCCCACTCTTATTGTTGGTGTTGGTAAATATCCTCGCCATTTGTTGGGAGGACCAGATGGTGCGGTGTGGAGCGCGAAGTTGAGGATACGTCCAAGCCACCCGCCGGCGTCTCCGGTCTCCTTGGTTCAGGCGGAGGAGGATTTGAAAGTGTGGTAGATTCAGGACAATTCTAGTGGCACTATAAAACACTGGCCTATTCGGCCACATGCGCATCCACGACGACCTGCGGTAGACAACCGCCGGTTGCACCACAACCCCACACCCTTCCTCCCTCCCTGCCTCCACTACCACTATCATTATCACCACCCAACCACACATCAACACTCATCCACCGCAAGCAACCAACTGCCACCAACCACACAAGTGGGAATTGCGCATATCGACTCGGTCCCCATGCGGCTCCGGCTGCATGGACGACTTGCGTCCGAGACTATTCCGACACGTCTAAGGTTGTGGATAGGAAGGCTGCTGATTGACGCCCGCACTCGATCCACGCAGTTCATCGTGTTGTGTGTGGAGTGGTGGACTGGTCGGCAGAGAGGATGGCTGAAACAGCGTCTTCCACGGCCCTCTCACGCCAGTGAGAAACACGCTGTTCAAAGCCCCCCGCGTGAGTGAAATCCCGGTGTGTGTGTGTGTTTGTGTGCGTGTGTGTGTGTGTGTGTGTTTGAGTCTGTGGTGCCAATTCGTGCTCGTGGCGTGTAGGAATGGAAAGGGAGAGTGAGGTCGACGACTCAGCACACATATCCTCACTGTAAACAATCTGCCGTGCTTGAAACTACCACGGCGCGCTAAAAGCCGTGGCTTGGAAGGTTGCCAACTGACGGGATATCTTGGACCTCCTCCTTAACTGGAGGCGGTCTGAGAGTCAGGATACAATGGCACCTTTTTAATATGGCGTTTATGGAACTCCTATCACAGTGTGGGATCCGAGCCAGACGTTGGCAGCCCGCCTAGGTGCGGCTTAGGTCGTGCCAGTCTCCAAATCTCTCTTGTGTTGGTTGAAATCCTGGTTATTTGTTGTGTGGACCAGGGGGTGTGGTGGAACGCCAAGGTGAGGATTCGTCCGAGCCATCCACCTGCAGCCTTCCCAGTCTCCGGTCTTCTTGGCTCCGTCTTGACACCGAGCTCAGGCGGGGGAGGAGGAGAGAGTGTAGGTAGATGCTACGCAAGTCTACTGGCACTATAAACCCCTGCGTAAGTCACCGTCCCTGCTACACACTGCAGTCAATGGGACACACGGTGGACATCATCGAAATCGATGGTCGAACTGTCGTGTGTGTGTGTGTGCGTGCGTGTGTGGACAAACTGTGTCCCTGCCCACGACTCCTTGTTACTGTAGGGCATCTCACTCCATACGACTGGTGCTGCACATTCATGAGCATTGTTTGTATTCAAGACGATATCGTCGATGTTGACATTAAGGCTAAATTATTAATGCAGCTACTGCGTGAATTATAGCTTACCTTGATCGAAATTGGAAACCTAACACACTCCCCTAATTAAAAATTCATTTATCGGGCATGGACTACGACGCGTACGTCTATCGGCCGGGAGGTTGGTCAATATGACCTCCATATGCAGTCAAGAATTTCCGAGTCAAGTAGAACTATGAGATATGCCTGTCACGCAGTTTAGTATTCAAAGCAGGGAACAAGATGCGGAGGCAATCTACAGCCAAAATACACTTAATCAAAACAGATTGCATTCTGAAATTTTGTACAAATGAGGTGCTAAGCCTGCTGATGACGTGGCTGTTGCTCGCTCTGCCAACAAGCCATTGCTGCATTTCAATTTCCCCATTAATTGTCCGCAGGAAGCAACTGTCTGCCAAGAGTCGAGCGAATTTCGATGAGATATGAACTTGTAACCTCATTTATACTTCTACCAAATCAACCCACACCAACCAGCTATTATTCAGTCTCCTTCACCCAATCCTCTTTCACGCACTTCGCGTTACATACTCGCTTCTCAGAATTCATCACTTTATTGCCCTGAAGCCGCACACAGCATAATTGCCGCACATAGTCTCGCATCCCTGGATCTTAACTATCATGCAGTAGATTGTGTTCCCCTTTGAAAAAAATCATAATGTTTTATGCTTCGTACCCTCATTTAAGTCGCTCATGCCCCACAGGTACTGCAAAACGACGGCCTTCTGCAGTGGTGAGTCTATTCGCTGTTCTAGTAGTCCAAGACATAGCCCATAGTATCTGCTGTGAGACGAATGCTACCAATAGAATTTACGAAATACATTTGGTTACTGGATTTGATAAATCTTGAAGAGGCTGGGGTCTTAGTCACAATTAAATTCGGAGGATGTTTGCCTATCACATCACAGCCCAACAGACTGACAAAGTTCAAAAGGTTACATATAACTATGCATGACGCCCCAATATCATGACTAACTTGTCGCCTTCCTAGGCTTTTGCTTCGCTGCAATCATACACGCCATTTTACATCGCCCGCGATCGTGCCTGCGAAGGTGGCATGGGTATCAGGCAATTCAAATGTCGTGAATCGATTTTGTGCCAGACTACATGTCGATCGATGTTGGGGCGTTTGAACGTGGCCAAACGACTTGCGCGTCAGAATTCAGAGACTGACAATGGCGAACGCTACCTTGATTGCTTTGCTGAAATGCTCGAGACGCGGGACGCGAAAAGTGAGACAATTATTCGGACGGCTCGCCAGATGGGGCAAGAAGCGCTCCTCTGTGCTGTTTTCCAGCGGTAAGTGCTGCATGTTTCCCTCGTTGTCGCTCTACTAAATGCACGTTGGACGTGAATTCGAGCTTGCTCCAGTCTCTCAGACTGAGCAATGTAGCAAAATTAATGCTAGATGGAAACTGGTCGAGTAGACACTTGTAGTGTTTGCTTGGTGGCCTAGCTTGAAATAATGTTAAGGATCGCATACAATATGGAGGCTTTCATACACCAACAATGTTTCTGCCTATTCGATTAGCCACATGATCCCAGCCATATACGTCAGGTAGAAAGTAACGACTGCGTTGATTCTACAGAGTCGTTAGGACGACACGCATTCATGCCGATGTCCGAATATTGTCAGTCATTTTTCACGTTTCTGGGAGTCATCGATATCACTTCTTGCCAGTTCAAGTGAAGGTGGGTAAATGTGAGGCGACTTGACTTGCATTATAACACGCCTTTCGTTCTTTACAGGCTGCCAACAATCGGATACTTTGTCAGAGCACGCAGAGTCGCTTGACCTCTCAGTAAGTCCTCAGGACGGATGATTATGTTGTCAAGTTAGGGCATTTTACAATTAATTGTCCACTTAATGCCCCCCAATAAACATCTTCCATTTTTTCTCATCCATGGCGTCCCTTGTCTGCTGGTAGATATGGTCAAGACTCTGCGTGTACGTCGCGTAAGCATTGAGGCCTTGTATCGAGTCCCAGATTGCGCCTCCAGGATTATAACAATTCTTCAACAGGCCGATTCCGTAAGTCACCTACCTTATTAATTCTATGCGTGCAGTGAGACATTATGTCACACGCGACATTACGCTGGCTTACGCTTAGGTGTGTGCTAATATGCAGATTCGCACTTGTTTGCCATTTCAGAATGTGAGTGAGCTGTGTGACCGTCTGGTGTGGGACGAGGAGGCTTTCGATGGTCGGGCACTTTTGTCAGCCATCAAGCGCTACCTGGACGCTCTGCATGTCAGTCTTCTGAATGCCCACATGTTTGCCTCATTTGTGGCGTCAACGGTGAACGAGACGGGGACGAAGAGATGTGGCCGGTCTCTGCGGACACCGGCAGGCCTAGCACGGGCCTTATGGCAAGTGCGAACAGGCCTCGTGAAGGTTTTCGGCTGCCCCGGCAATGCGACGGCCGAGGACCGGGAGAGAGGGTGGCGCATGGCCACGCTTGATTACATGATGCGCCACCTTCGGGAGGTTGTGGCCCTTTAGGCCACTAACAGCATGTCCCATCGAGCGCTGTCGTTGTGTCTCGCACCCTCTCTCTTCGGCTCCACAGATGATGCCGAGACCAACAGCCAGGTATGCATTACCCAACAGCTGCCCTCTTTCACGTCTCTCCATGCAATCCCCTCTTCCTTTAGTGGTCATTACCTCATGCTTATGCTATTTCATTTCTGCCGCCACCATCAATAGGTGCTGGAGCTGCTAATTGAGCACTGGCCCTGGCTGTCACAGTGTCTGCATCGTTGCAGCCAGCCGGTGTCCGTAGAGGGTCTAGGTGAACCGGTAGCCGACGCCTGTCTCTACGCCTGCCGGTAAGTCGCTTTGCATTGCAATTCATAACGTCGGCTGTACATATTAAATATGAACCAATTGTAATCTTACGGATATTCAGCCCTAACTCCCTTCATTCTGACATTGAATTTTGCAAGTACATTTGTTTATTTGCTTACTGCGAACGCATTTGAAGTCAAATTTATGCAGACATTTTAGCCATGTTATAGTTCTTCAGGATTTTGCCGATTGCCACCTAGTTGTTACCCTGAGGACAGCACTGCGGCTTAAATTCGTCTCCCCCAGAAACCCAGATAGTTCAAATTATCCATAGACAGACTATTGTACAGCACATTTAATAACGTTATTGTTTTTGATACTTGGAAAGATATGCTTATCTACTTGGTTTCGAAACTTTTGCCAATCTTGAAAAAACATCTGTAGGGAGTTCAAAGGTTCAACACCTATGTCTCTCTCATATAAACTGAAACTGAAACAGATATTTTGCATTCCAGTGAAAAGCATAGGCTGCACTAATTAAGCTAGAGTAGTGTTCAATCTATTAGGTACTCAACCATGACTCACTGAATACTCCCTACCTTCTAGATACCATCTGGGCCAGGATTAAGCGGATCAAGGGGCTACCTGGGACTCGATATTAGGCCTCCATGCTATGGCCGCGTACACGTAGAGTCCTCATCATTTCTATCAGCAGACACGGGACGCCCTGGATGATACAAGATGGAATATGTTTATTGGGAGCATTCAGTGGACAATGGAATGTAAAATGCCCTAACTTGCCAACATAATCATTCGGCCTGAGGACTTACTGAGTGATCAGACGATTCATCTTGCTGTGAGACCTGGCCACCGAATAAGGGCCCCGGCGTGTCCAATTGCTGGCAGGCTGAAAAGGACGAAAGGAAAAGCTTGAAGACGTTTATGCAGAGCATTTACCATCTCCACCAGCAGCTGTGGGGCACCCTGGGCGATGCAACAGGAAGACATTCAGTGGCAGGATTAAGCGGACCATGGAATGCAAAATGTCCTAACTGGTTAATATCATCATCATGCGTCCAGAAGACTTACTGAGTGGTCAGGCGACTCTGCCTGCTTCGACAACTAGCCACCGAACACGAGTCCCGACGTGACCGATTGTAGGCCGCCTGCAGGAAAGAGGGAAAGGAAGAGCCTGATGACTGTTGAATGCAGACGTGTCATTAGGCAAGTCAAGTCACTTCATATTTGCCCACCTTGACCTGCCTTGGCAAGAAGTGATATCGATGACTCCAAGTAACTTGAAAAATGACTGACAGTTCTCGGACATCGGCATGAATGCATGTCGTCCTAAAGACCCTGTGAAAACAACGCAGACGCTACCTGCTACCTGGCCGGAATCATGCGGCTAATCCAGTTGGCAGAAACATTGTTGCTGTGTGACAACCCAAACATTGTCTGGGACACTTAACATGATTTAATGCTTGGCAACCAAGCAAGTGTCTACTGGACCATTTTCCATCTAGCCTCAGTCTGAGAGACGCGAGCCTACGTACTATCCAACGCACGTCATTATCTTAACCACGCTCAAAGTCCCGTCCAACGTGCATTTGGTTGAGCGACAACGAAGGAATTATGCAGCAATTACCGCTGGAAGACAGCACAGACGAGCGCTTCTATCCCCATCTGGCCATCCGTCCGAATATCTGTCGCACTTTCCGCGTCCCCCGATTTGAGCATTTCAGCTGAGATAGGCAGAGGGCGGGAGCTAGGATGCACAAGTGATTATTTGCACCAGGCTCAAATTTCAGTCAAATGTGTTTTTAGTAGTGTGACAACGAGGGAAGTATGCAGCACTTACCGCTGGAAGACAGCACAGACGAGCGCTTCTTTCCCCATCTGGCCAGCCGTCCGAATAATTGTCTCACTTTTCGCGTCCCGCGTCTCGAGCATTTCAGCAAAGCAATCAAGGTAGCGTTCGCCATTGTCAGTCTCTGAAATCTGACGCGCAAGCCCTTTGGCCACATTCAAACGCCCCAACATCGATGGACATGTTTTCTGATATAAAATAGATTTACGAAATTTTAATTGTCCGCTGTCTTTACAGGTATGATTGCAGCGAAGCAAAATGACTTACAAAAGCCTAGGAGGGCGAAAATTTAACTATGACATTGGGGCGTTATGCATAGTTATCTGCTTTCCTTTAGTCAATCAATAGAGAATCACGTCTTCTTTATATTTATACTTAAGGAAGGTGTATAATTAGGTTTTAAAAAAGTTTCTAATTATGAGACTTTTTAAGACCGCTATGCGCCCATTCACATAGCATCGTACCTGGCCGTTTACCACTGCTCCTCATGAAATTTACAACATGGTCCGCATCCATTGCAAAATTTTATGGACCCTGTATGATATCTCTTTAATGACATAGAAAAATATGGGATTTTCTTTACGCGGAACGCATGCACCTTGTAGAGTGTAATCACTAAGCGCTAATGCAACGAATGATCAGGCTGCAAATTATTCGGCAATTAGAAAACTTTTTTTAAACCTAATTGTACTCCTTCCTTAAGTAAAAAAATATAAGGAAGACGTGATTCTCTATTGATTGACTAAAAGAAAGCATATTTTTGTTTGTGGTTTCTATAAAATATATTTGAATTTCCAAGACCATCGAAAATCTATGGGAAAAATGCATGCTACTTAAGTAGTCATTTTTTACCGAGCACGCTTTCTACAGGAGATTGAAAAGAAGTACATTTAAAAGCCGACATGCTGCCGAGTCCAAAATGTTATAAGAATATGCCTTAAGGTAATCGGTATCACAATCGCGACCAAGTAATCCTTCCTAATCGAAAACGCATTTCAGAATTTCAGCCAACAGTTCATGAGATAGGTCACGCACTGTAGTTCTGTAAAACCCATCCCAATGTGTCAGTCTATAATGGGCTGCGATGTGGTAGGTAAACAACGTCTGAAGTTAGGTGTAATTTGGACCCGACCTCTTCAAAATTAATCAGATCGATTGCCATTGCTTCGGTGACCCAATTCATTTCATAAATATTATTCATAGCAATCGGCCCAGAGCAGATTCGGTGGGCTATGTCTTGGATTACTAGAACAGCGAACAGACTCATCGCTCTACAGTACCTGTGGGGCATGACTGACTTAAGAGAGAATACGAAGCGTAAAACATCTCGATTCATTCAAAGGTAAACACAATCGACTGCACGATTGTCAATGACCAGACTAATAAGACATGCGTCTGTGTGTTGCGAGTCTATGTGCGTCAATTTCTGTTGTGCGCTGCTTCATGCCGGTGAATTGAGGTATCCTGCATAGCGAGTATGTACTGCGGAGCGTGTAAACGAGGGATTGGGTGGAAGGAGACTGAATTAGAGTTAGTCGGTGTGAGTTGATTTAGTAGAAGGATAAACGAGGTTACAAGATCATATTTCATCAAAATTTACTCGAATCTTGGCAGACAGTTGTTTTCTGCGGACTTATAATGTAGGAGGAATTGAAATGCAGCATTGGCTTTTTGAGGCATACAGGTGTACGGGTGTCGTTGGCAAGGACAATGTGTGTCGCACTAGGATAATTCCATACTTTTAAACAGGGCTGTATGAGTGGTGACTGAAGGGACTCTGACTAATATGAACTGCCGATACTAGGCTGCCGGCAAATAGAATGAGAGATGTACATAGGCGTCGCCGACTGGGTTGGAAAGTTCAGTGACCGCTAGTGTGTTGGCAGGTACTTATAAGTGGTAAGCTGTAAGTCCGCGCCAAATTTATCGGTTAATCCATTAAATGCATTTACTTCGCCCGGTTCTGGCACATACACAGACACACACACACGACGACAGTTCGACCATCGATTTCGACGATGTCCACCGTGTGCCCCACAGCTGCAGCAGCGGTGGGAGCAGGGACGGTGACTTGCGCAGGGGTTTATAGTGCCGGGAGACTTGCGCTGCATCTACCTACACACTCTCCTCCCCCCCGCCTGGGCCCGGTGTCAAGACAGAGTCAAGAAGACCGGAGACGAGGGAGGCCGCAGGTGGATGGCTCGGACGAATCCTCACCTTGGCGCTCCACTCCGCACCGCCTGGTCCACACAGCGAATGACCAGAATTTTGACCAACACAACGCGGATTGAAGGCTGGCACGGCCGAAGCAGCCGCACCTAGGTGCGCCGCCAACCCCTGGCTCGGATCCCACTCTGTGGTGGGAATGCCATAAAGGCCACATTAAAAAGGAGCCATTGCAGCCTGACTCTCAGACCGCCTCCAGTCAAGGAGGAGGTCCAAGTTGCCCCGTCAGTTGGCAACCTTCCAAGCCACGGCTTTTAGCGCACCGTGATAGCTCTAAGCGCATCAGATTGTTTATAGTGAGTAGAACGTGCGCTGAGTCGTCGAACTCACTCTCCCTTCCCATTCCCACACCCCAGCCACTGTCCGAGCCGGTCAGTAGACTGGAGTGGGGAATGGGCGCGGTGGCTGACATGGTCGACTGACCATGCCTGCGCGCGCCACAGCACGACCTGCCCCCCCCCATGCACACAAACACCAGGATTTCACACAACGGGGGTTGAACGGCGTGTCTCTCACTTGCGTGAGAGTGCTGTGGAAGGTGCTGTTTCAGCCCGTCCCCAGCCCACCAGTCCGCCACTCCACACAACACACACACACAACGTTACGAACTGCGTGAACCGAG